TGGGATATCCAGGGTGATCCAGTGTATGTGAACAGTGAGATGTTTGGGCGTTGAAGTTGCCATAGCCAATTGAGAGTGAACTCGTATCTGAAAGCGATATATCTGATTTTTGAGTGGGCGTATGTCGCCAGTATGCTGCGTTGCTGTTTACATGCATGAAAAGTGTGTTTGAGAACAAGTCTGATTGCACAAGTATATATGATAATTCAAATTATTTGACTCAAAAATTGGGGGACCGGGTCAACCGAAGGCCGAGTCCATTCTAAGTGCGTGGTCTCAGTGCAGTGTTTCTTTCTGTATGTTGGGCTGTTTGCTTGACTTTCATAGGTTGGGACTCTCCATAAGTTGGAAGGCCCAGTCGCATGTTTTCTTTGGGGTTTCAGAATAAAGGATAGTATCCATAAGTTGGGTACTCAGAATCCTTGCTTTCTTTTGTTGTTAAACAGAGTTGCTTACATTCGAAGTGCTTGTGTCCTGTTCTATGTTTATTTGTGCGGGGAACACAGGCATAGGCTAATCACACCATAAGTTGGTGTGACCAAGTCATGAGTCATGGACATAAGAGGAACCAGAGTATACACTGACTCATCCATAAGTTGGGTAGTTGGTCCTATGCCCTTGATAATACAAAGGCAAAGAAAATATAAAAATTAACTATTCTTTTTTTAAATATAACTGATGTTTGGATGGGGATCCTCATAAGTTGAGGTGACCTGACCACTCGTCTGAAGACAGAAATAGATTCTGACCTTAATTATTGAATGTAGTTGTGTTGTGGAGGCTGGGCTAGACTACTCATATGTTGCAGGCTGCTCGGTCACACACACCTGTAGTTTTGTCTAGGCTGGGTCAGACTACTCATAAGTTCAGTAGCCTGGTTCTACGCTATATGTCATGGCTTGGGCTGGCTAGTCACATCATAAGTTGGTGTGTTCTAGTTATATGCCTCTCGTCATTTGTTCAGGCAGAGACTGGACCCCTCATGAGTTGAGGTGGCCCAGCTAATTGTGTATGCCAAATGTTCAAGATGACTAGCCTCACCATAAGTTAGTGCATGCCGGTCATACGCCTTATGTCAATTGTTTAGGCAGAGGCTAATCATACCATAAGTTGGTGTGGGAAGTTTAATACCTTATGTTTATTCGTTGAAAATGGTTGTATTGCGAAAGTTGGGCGAACACATAAGTTGTAGGTTGTGCGGTCATTCGCGCATGTAGTTTTGTCTAGGATGGGCTAGACTACTCACAAGTTGAGTAGTCTGGTTCTACGCTATATGTCACCGTTTGGGCTGGCTAGGCGCATCATCAGTTGGTGTGTTCTAGTCATATGGCTTTTGTCGCTGTTCAGGCAAAGCTTGGCCCCTCATAAGTTGAGGAGGTTAGTTCTTGGTGCGGCCCAGTCATACGCCTTATGTCGATCGCTTAGGCAGAAATTGGTCACACCATAGTCCTATGCCTTACGTTTACTTGTTCTACCAGGTTACGGCACCATAAGTTGGTGTGGCCTAGTCATATAATTGGCAGGTCAA